CGTCGTCGTCGTCGTCGTCGTCGTCGTCGTCGTCGTCGTCGAGGGGGAGGAGGGACATTCTGCTTCTGTCCTACCCTTCGGGAGGGAGGGTCCTACGTTTCGTGGACGAAGGCTGGGATGGCGTGAGAGGGGGGGTAGAGCAGACTGGAAGGGGAAGAGGGTGGGAGAGGTAGGGGGAGACTGGGGTGGGGGGGTGGGGGGATGGGGGACCGGAAGGGTTTCCTGCGTATCAGCGGCAGTCGTCGAAGATTGTTGTAGTGTTTCTTACGTCTTTCTTTGTCTGTGTCTCGGTCTGACTGTCTCTCTGTCTCTCTGTCCATCTGTCTGTCTCTCTGCATGCCTGCCTGTCTGTCTGTCTGTCTGTCTGTCGGTCGGTCGGTCAGTCTGTCTGTGCCTGTGTCTGTGTCTGTGTCTGTGTCTGTGTCTGTGTCTGTGTCTGTGTCTGTGTCTGTGGCTTTCTGTCTGTCTGTCTGTGACTTTCGGTCTGTCCGTCTGTCTGTCTGTCTGTCTGTCTGTCTGTCTGTCTGTCTGCCTGTCTGCCTGTCTGTCTCTATCTCTCGGTACATATGTATCTACCTCTCTCTGTCTGTCTCTCTCTCTCTCTCGTTCCCTCGTTCTCTCCTTGTTCTTCTTCGACCCACCAGCCACGCACGCCAATGCGGACGGAGGTCCGTCTAGGCGCTGCTAGCCCTTGTGGCTAAGGCCTGCAGTGAACTAGGTCCAGTGAAACAAGGGAGACCTTCGGCGCGCGAGAAGACGCACGCCTGCTTGGTGGAAAGGGCACCGAGCGACAGGCAGCGCAAGACCGCTGGGGAGCTCACGGGCGGGTGATTCAGGGGCGCCTTGGCGGCTGCTGGTGAATGCGTCTCTGCTGGGGTCCGCGTTGGTTGAGCCACGATTGGGGCTGTGCAGTGGTATGCGTGTGGGATCGTCAGTGGGGGTTCGGACTCTATGGTAGAGTTGGGACGGCGGTTTGAGCGCTTGAGCTCATCGGCACTGCGTGGTTGACCCTAGGGTCGGTGGTGGGCCAATGTCCACCTGATTTTGTGTTTGCCGCAGAGGCGTTGGAGGGCCTTGCGGAGCTCGGTGGGCTGGTGGGCGTGATCGTGGTAGACGCAGTCGTCCTCAGGAGAGGCGACTGGCGGGAGCTGATCGTGTGCTGGAGTGGCACGTTCAGCTTCGGCGTCTTTGAGGTACGTCGAGACGTACGGTAGGTTCGCGTCGCGTCGACTGGCGGCGACCCCGCCGCCGGCCTTCGGCGCTGAATGCCAGCGGCGGCCCAGGATCCGTCGATGTTGAACGATCGGACGTTTGGGCAACGGTCGATCGTTCAAGATTGGAAGATCCCCGCGGTGTCGGGAGCCCTGCCGAACCGCCCAGAAAGCACGGCAGAGCCGAAGTCTTTGTGCCCCCCTGAGATCTTGCGTCACGAAAGAAGCGCAACATCGTGAAAATGAACCACAGGAGCCCTACATACCTCGTCGAAATTGAACGCAAGTTTTAGCCGCGACCTGGCGGCGCACCCCGACCCCCAATTTCAATGTTCACGCCGACGCCGCCGACTTCGAGATTCTCTTCGGACCCCGCCGGCCGCGATGCGCCTGTCGATGAACATTGAAATATGGGGGCGACGGGGGTGGAAAAAACTTGCGTTCAATTTAGACGAGGGTTGTAGACCCAACCTTCCTGTGGCATTTTTCGAGCCCGGACCAGTGTGTGGTGGTCCCAGTGCCCGGCGCGAGCCTGCCGCGTGCCTCTCCGAGCGAGCCGGGCCTCGCTCGGCGCGCCCCTCTCGGGTGCCGAGGGGGCTGCGCGGAGGGGGCTGCCGCCGGGGCGGCGCGGCCGCGGGGCGGACGGCGGGGAGGGGGAGGTGCCCCTGCTCTCAGGAGGGGAGAAATACGCAGACACAAGGAATCGTCGACTCCCCAGAAGATGTGGGAAAATATGGGAATTGGGCGGGAGGACAGACGCCCAGAAGATGTAGGAAAGTACGGGGAATCCTTTCACTTGTGTGTATTTATTTGTGTGTCCTTGGGCCCCTTGAGCTCCCGCGGCCGCGGGTCGGAGCGGCGGGCTGGCAGGCGGGCCGAAGGCGGGGCTCCGTGGTCCGCAGGGGCGCGAGGAACCCTGTATACATAGGTGTGTGTATATACATCTGTATCTGGGATGCACGAATGTCCCCGGGGGGGGGGCCTCCGCGCACCGCCAGTGCGGGCCGGTACCCCGGGATGCTCGCGGGAGCGCGTTTTCCTTCACTTCCTCCTTCTCCTGGTCCTCATCCTCTTTCGTCTCCTCCTCCACCTCCTCAACCTCCTTCTCCATTTCCCCCTGCGGCCTCCCTGGAAGGAGCGGAAGCACCCAGGGAGCGTTTGCGAGCGCCCTCCGCGCCCAGGTGCGCGGGGGTTCGCCCCCCACTTCTCCTCCCCTCCTCCCCCTCCTCCTTCTCCTGCGGTCTCCCTGGGCGTGCGCGGGAGCACCCCCACGCGGATGCCGCCCCCCACAGACCCACCCCCACGCCCACAGCAGGACCCCCCCACTCCCACAGGGGGGGGGGGCCGGGTCGTCGGCGGCACCTGGCGCGCCCGCCCAGTACGAAGGCCCCCGGTGAGGGGGAGGAGGGGGGCTTCTGGGCTGTCGGCCGCACCTGGTGCGGCCGGTAGGAACGCCGCCTGGAGAGGGGGGTGTCTTCCGTGCCACCCAGCACCGCTCACATCTATATACGTGTTTCAGTACATTTATGCACAAATAATTATATGCATCTCAACGTTTCGCATTTACACATGTCTTTACACACATTCAACGTGTCTTGATACATATACATTTTTTACACATATATGTGTGGGATGTGCACATACCATATACCACCTACATATATACATACACTTATGTATGCATTTGTATTATGCTTACATACCTATATACCCACCTACATATATATGTACATATATATAGATGTATGCATATATCCACCTAGCTATATATGTATATGTCTGCATATCTTAGAACCCATTATGAATATATGTCCTTATATATCGATATATATACATATAGATATATAGATCAATCGATCTATCTATCTACCTATCTATCTATCTATCTATAGGTCTGTCTGTCCGTCTGTCTGTCGGTCTGTCTGTGTGTCTGTCTGTCTGTCTGTCTAGCTATCTATCCATCAAGCTACCTTCTCTCTTTTATTTTACATATGAATATGGCATGCGTTGATATGAATATCGACATTTGTACACATGACATATGTATACATATATCTATATGTATACATGTATCTTAATCTATCTCGCAGATCATGCGGTCGTGGGCGAGCAGGCGGGCGGGTCCTTTGTCCCCGACAATCACAGGGAGGGGATGATGAAGTTCGGTGTTCTGGCAGGGTTACACTCGTTTCCCGGCAGTCGCAACATAAAGGAGGAGGAGGAGGAGCAGAAGGAAGAATCGCGAACGGAATCTTTAGGAGTGTACGGATGCACGGAGTGTCTCATGGTATGACGATGCCGTGCTCGCTCTTGCGGGGCCTCCCTCGAGGGGTGGGAGGGGTAGGAATCCTGAGAAATATTATGGTGTAGCGCTGCCCTGCTCGCCCAGGCGGGGCCTCCCTGGCGGGGTGGGAGGATCTGGAATCCTGAGAAATACGATGGTTTAGCGACAACGTGCTCGCTCAGGCGGGCCTCCCTGGAGGGTGGGAGGAGCAGGAATCCTGAGACATATCATTGCATAGCAGTACCATTCTCGCTCCGGCGGTGATGATGATGGTGATGATGATGATGCTGATGATGCTGATGATGATATTAACCCTGCTAAGACGATTCAATCTACGATGCATACATCCCCCCTGGCGATGATGAAGTTTGGCCCCGCCGCTCCCCACCGCTGACCAAAACTGTCTTGGCCAGGGGTAATCATGAGGATCGTGGGAAGGGGTATGCTTTATTTTTCCAGGGCATGCGGTTAGCCCACTTTGTCTTTGTCTCTTCTCCCCGCCTCCCTCCTGTGTCATACAATGTCAATTCTACGGCGCAACCGCTCTTGGATCGGTGAGAGACACACAGAGAGCGAGAGACGGAGAGAGAGAGATGAAGAGAAAGCGGATCAGGAGGGGCAGAAGGGAGAGATGGCAGGAGTGGTACTTCAGGGGAGGGGATGTGGAGCGCCGCAAGGCATTTGAGGTACGCGCTTCGCTCCGGAAAGCTCCGCCTGCTTTTCGGCGACCATGGGGACAGGCAGCTCGCTGCTGCTGCATAGGAGGAGGATCCAGCTGGCATTTATGAGTTTGAGTCTTCAGGGGCCCGTTTTGCTTCCAGCGGTCCACCAACAAATTCAACCCACAGCGCGACGAAACTCATTCGAATGTGAGGTTGGAGATTTCCCGAGCCCCTCGCAATGATAGAACATATCTCCGTTCGTGCCCTGCTCTTTCAGCCCTCCCTTGTGATTGTCCTCTTTCTCCCGCTTCCCCCCCTTCGTCACCTTCGTTCGATCTCCGCCACTCAGTCGCCGTGCCTTGCTTCCTCCCCTCACCTTGCCATTTCCTCCTTCTGTCCCTTGATCCTACTGTCCAGGCCCCTATGCATTGTCCCATGTTCTTTCTGCCTCCCCTGTCTTTTCCCCTTCTTATCTCCTGCCGTGGGCAGCCCAAACTGGCTCCGCTGTCTCGTCCGTGAGCTCAGGCCTCGTCGCGACACCTGGGATGGAGGCGCTGGCCGCTCGCATGAGGCAGCCGCATCAGGCAGCGCGTGTCGTCAGAGATGCTGCTGACCTGTTCTGCCTCGCCTCAGGACCTCCCAAGGACTCGGATTCTCTTACGCTTCCTCTTCGGATTCGCCATCCTCATCCCGTCGGGCACGGCCTCGTTTATTTTCTCCTTGACGGACCCTGGGACCAGCCTCACTGCTGCTGCTGTTGAAGCTTCGGCTGATGCTGCTCGTCGACGTCCTCCTCCTCCTCCTCCTCCTCCTCCTCCTCCTCCTCTTACTTCTCCTTCCCTCAGCCATTTCGGCTAACGTGACCTCTCTTGATCGCAGCCAGCTCGTGCCTGCTGCAGGGGGCCAGCCCGTGCCAGCGAGCCAGCGGTGCGATGTCCGCGCTGACCTTGCAGATCGAGGCCTACGCCTTCCGGGAGCTCGTGGCCCACCTGCAGTGGCAGTCTGGGGTTCAGAACATTGACTTGATGAACCTGGCGGGCTTCTGCCGAAATTGCCTCGCGAAGTGGTATCACGCTGGCGCCAAGGTCAGCTGACCGAAGGAGCGTGGAGGAGGGAGGAGGAGAATTCGGGGGGGATGAGGAGGATGATGAGTCAGATGATGAGGACCATGATGAGGTAGGAGGAGCATGAGGAGGAGGCTGAGGACGAGGAAGAGGAGGAGTAGGGATGAGGAGGAAGCAGAGGCATGAGGAGGAGGAGGCTTAGGTTAGGAAGGTGCAGGATGAGGCGGAGGATGAGGACGATAAGGGGGAGGAGAAAAAGGAGGAGGGAACAGAACTACAGTGGGCGCTGCTGCGTCCGCCTTCCTCAGCAGCGCCAGCAGCATCAGCTTCGCGAGAGATGTGGCGCACGAGCACCCCGCGATCAGTCCCGTTGGCTTCCAGATGCCTGCTGGTGCACCCCTGGAGGACGGCGCGTCGCGGAGCCCTGTAAACGCAGCAAAGCGCCCGAAGCAAAACGTCGGGGAACCCCGCATTGGCCGCCTCAGCCCTCAGCTCATTATGATATATGTTCTCGTAGTATCTTTTCAAATCGAGAAACGCCGATCCCGACTCAAGCTTCACCAGGCTGGCGAAGTGGGTGAGCGCGTTGTGCAGCCACGCGCTCTTGTCACAAGACGTCGCACGGCTATGGCCCCAAAAGGGCTTCGAAGGAGGAGAAGGAGGAGGAGGTGGAGGAGGCGGAGGCGGAGGATGAGGAGGAGGATGAGGCGGAGGAACACTGATGTTAGTATTACTACTACTGCTACCGCTTGTATTAGCAGTAGTATTACGAATAATGTTATTAATGCTAGTCACACTACTAATCATTTTAATGCTAACACATGTTAGCATGAACGCTGTTAGCAGCACGACGCAGTTATCAACACTACTAATATTACAATTGTTACTAGTAACGGCATATACTTATGCGTTAACACCACTTATGTCTTATCAGCACTGTTCATAAAACGTGTTCATAGTACCCCTAATAGTAACAATTAACGTTACCATTAGCACTGCTACTAATACAACGAATCGTATTCATAGTATTCGTATTTTTACTAGCCATAACACTACGAATGCTATCAGTATTACTCACAACAAACATACTTCTAATCTCATCAGGTGCTATCAGCTCTAGTAATACTAGTTTGATGGATTTTACGATTACTTATCAGACTAATGCTCACAACGAAAAGAAGCGTAACAATCATACGGACACCAACTGAGATTACTAATCAAAGTACGAATAAGACGACTATTAGTAAGTATCGTAAGAATTCTGATACGGACCATGCAAGTAATGAGACGACTACTAAACATACCATTATTACGAGTAATAAGTCAACGCAAACATCGACTAACATAATACTTACACTATTAATCAGGATTGTTCATATCAGTGATAAAACGCATTCTACTGAGAATAAGCCGATCACGATTAATACTGATATCACTGTCAAGCACAGTATTACAATCAAAGCATGCTCATCATTGTTATTCTACCGGTTGCTATTAGTGGTATTATCATTATTCTGTGTATTAGGAGTACGATTAATACACATGCTTGTAACACTACTCATACTATTACTAAGAAGATTATGGAGGATGAGGAGGAAGAGGAGCAGCATGAGGAGGAAGATGAGAAGGAGGAGAAGGAGGAGGAGGATGAGGAGGCGGACGAGGACGAGGAGGAGAAGGATGATGAGCAGCATGAGGTGGAGGGGGAGGAGGAGGAGGAGGAGGAGGAGGAGGAGGAGGAGGAGGAGGAAGAGACGATGGAGGAGGAGGCGGGGGGAGGAACAGGTGGGACGTGGATGAGAGCGGAGGCCGGGCCTCGCCGCCCAAGCCTGCCGACCTGTGGCCTCCGAGACGAGCCGCCCAGGTGTACGGTCTGCCCATGGATTACTCCGAGGCGTGCGAGCGCGTGTACGGGGAACCGTATCCGCAGTGGAAGAAACGGCACCATGGCCGTGGTCGCGTGGCCACCACTGATGGCTCAGGAGGGGGGGGAGAGGATGGATGGAGGGAGGGAGGGAGGGGGAGCGAGGGAGGGAGGGAGGGAGGGATGAAGGGAGGGAGGGAAGGGAGGAGGGAGGAGCAGGAGGAGGATGACGAGGAGGAGGAGGAGGAGGAGGAGGAGGAGGAGGAGGAGGAGGAGGAGGAGGAAGCGACGATGGAGGAGGAGGAGGAGGAGCAGGAGGAGGAGGAGGCGGAGGCGGAGGCGGAGGAGGAGGAGGAGGAGGGTGATTGAAGACCGCGCTGGAGGTTTTCTCGATTCGGACTTATCTAACATCGATCCCTGATGAAAAGCCGGCCAGAATATGGACCCCAGGACGGGTCCAGGGACCAGTTTCGCTTGGATATTGGGGCAGGAGGAGGATGGTGGAGGAGAAAAAGGAGGGCCCAGGAGGAGGATGCTTGCCGTCTTTTGTCCTTCTTGCTTCTTGGATGTCTTTGTCGCCACGCTTTGGTTCGCTCGACATCGTGGTCAGAACGCGATCCGGGAGAGGTCGTGAGGTCGCCCTTGAGGGGGGTCGTGAGGTGCCCTCCGAGGGGCACATCTGTGCTGTGCGGAACAGTGGCGATTCCTTGGCCTCACTGGTGGTTTGGGCTATCAGCGGGTTGGGTTGGGCAGTCAACCAAATCACGCGGTGCTGCTCGCGACTGGCCGAACGTCCAGCGGCGCAACTGCCTCCATCTCCAGCCTTCATTCAGGTGAGACTGCGAGGGCTCGGTTATGGTGGGGAGGCCGATTCGGACTACTACACCGAGTGGGTGCGGGGGCGGGGTACGGGCCGTGTCCCGAACCACATCCTGCTCTGGAGGAATGGGCAGTTTGCGCGATTTCCAGCGATTTCACAAATAAGTCACGGCTGCTGGACAGGCACAGGGTTCACCTGCAGATCAATAGAGTGTTGTGCTGTACCAGCAGGACCTGGCGCCAAGACCTTGAGACCGTCGGAGCGGCACGTCTCTGCCGGTCAGCGGGCTGCGCAGCGGCCCCCCCGATGCATGTCGACCACTACAGTCAAAAACCCTAACAAGGACGCGCGACTTCGCTCAGGGTACCCTTGCGTCCTTGCTCTTCCTTGCTCTTGCGTCCTTGAGGTTTTCGTCGTCCGCCGCCCCCCAAATTCCAACTTCGGCTTCCAAGGGTCTTGCGTCCTTGCCGCGCGTCCTCATCAGGGTTTTTGACTGTACGCCGTGATCCATGATGCCCATTTCCTCGATCTCCTTGCGCACGGCAAAAGCCCACACTTGCTCGTGCTGCCTGTGTGGGGCTGCGGCAGCTGGTGAGGCTGCTCTGGTGGCGGAAGCTCGGACTCTCGTGTTGCCTGTGTGTGGGGCTGCGGCAGCCGGCGAGGCTGCTCGGGTGGCGGACGCTCGGACTCTCCGGGGGCCCTCTTCGTGGGCTGCTCTGCCCGAGGCCGGAGCCGCGCTGCATTCAGGAGGGAAAGAAAGACACAGACACAATTCATCGTCGACTTCCAGGAAAATATGAGAAAACATGGGAAGGGGGGGGGGGGGAAGACAAAAACCCCCAGAACATGTAGGAAAACATGGGGAAACTTCTTAGTTGTGTGTATTTATCTGTGTGTCCCAGGGCCCCTTCATGCATCAGTGACCGCGCGGGGCACCAGCCGATGGCAGCCGCTTCGGAGGGCGAGCTCGAGACGGAGGATCGGCCACGCCAAGCTGCGAGGGCCGGCGCGCAGGTGTTTCCGGCGGGGCGAGGCGGTTGCAGCCCGAGGGGTGCCACGACCGCGGGCTCAGAGAGCTGGCCGTGGGTCCTCCCCCTCCTCCTCCTCCTCCTCCTCCTCCTCCTCCTCCTCCTCCTCCTCCTCCTCCTGCAGGAGAGACGGCCAAAGGGCTGCTTCTGCGCGCACCGCGCGCAGCATGGCCGCTCGACGCCCGCGGGGCGGAGAGCTGCAGCCTGCCGACCTGCTGCAGCGCGGCTCGCGGCGACTTCCACGGCGCGCCCACGTGTGTGCGGCGAGCGCCTGGGCACGCGGGATGGTGTCGCGGTGCGGCTAGAGTTGCCTAGAGTTGCGAGGGCGAGGATCAGGCCCAACGCCCACGCCGGACTGGACTGCCCGATCGGCCGACGGATTTTCGGCTCCTTTGAACCGCGGCCCGGCCCCTCCCGGCCCAGCGCTGGATCACAGGCGACGAGATGTGGGCGTGGCGAGCGAAGAGTTCGCCGTTCGCCGATGGGGAAGGTCGTCGTGTCTTGCCGGAGGGGTAGCCGTGCCCGAGCTGCGACGGGCGCGCTCCCCAGTGAGTCCGACCCATCCGCGGTCCCGGTCTACGCAAGGGCCTGCCGTGAGCGAGCGCATGGTCGACCACCACCGCTGGCTGCGCGAAGATTTGGTGGTCAAGGTCTGCCCCGCGCTCGCCGAGACCTCGGAGGCGGCCCCCCCTGTTCTGGTTTGCCTGCTGGGATCTTGAGAAGCGTTGGATGCCCCCCAACCCCAGGATTGATCAGGGGGGGGGGAAAAACACACAGACACAATTAATCGCCGATTCTCAAGAAAGTATGCAAACACATGGGAAGTGGGGGGGAAGACAAAAAACCCAAACATATAGGAAACTACAGGGAATATCTTTATTTGTGTGTACTTACTTGTGTGTTTTGGGGCCCCTTCAAGTGAGTCCCGCCTTCGCATCAGTACGAGCGTCGAGGGGCTGCAGCTGGAAGGGCCCGCGACCGAGGCGCCTGCGAGCGGGGGCCCCGGGGGTGCCGGGTGGCCGCCGCGCGCCGGGGCACCCGGCGACGGCGGCCGGGGCGTCGGCGGGATCGGGCGGCAGATCGGCATGGCGATGGAACGGAATGCTCGCGCGGTCGAACGCGCGGCCCCTGGCCGCGAAGGGCGGGCGGTATTCCGCGGGCACCCGAGGAAGTGTCGGCCGGGATGACGAGCTCGACCTGCGCAGCGCGCGGCAATGGAACGCTTCGACCATGGAGGCCTGCGAGGGGATTGTGGGTGATGATCGGTTCGACTCGCTGCGTCGGATGCGCGCTCGCTCCATGGGCGCGCTCAGGAGCATCCGCTGGCCGGGCCTGGCGACGAGCCGGGTGGCCTGCGGCGGCGCCGACAGTTTTTCGCGGACGAGGACTTCGGCGCCTTCCCCCTGCGACGACGGCGAGCTCGAGGCCCGCCGGCGGCCCGCGTCTTACATGGCGAGCTGGTTGAAGCGAGCCCGGTTCCACATGTTCGAATCGGTGATGGGCGTGGGGCACGGGGGTGTCCGACAGGGGGCCTTGGCGCGCCGTGAGCAGGCCCGCGAGGAGGGCCCCGCGGAGTCTCCCGACGTTTGGGTCGGGGGCCTTTGTGAGGAGCTGCGGTGCACCCAGGTGGAGGAGTCCCCGGATATGCGTCGGCGCGAGTGCCTAGGGCTCGACGACCTCAATTCTTCGGGGGGTAGCAGGCGCGTGCTCCTGATGCCCAGCAGCGCCTGCCACTTCCCGCGGACCTTCGACGTCGCCGACCCCGTGGCCTAGCGCCGACGGGTGGTGGTGGTGCCCCCGCGGGAGGCCGATATGAGGCGTCTCCTCTCCGTGCATCCTTGCGTCCTGTGGGCGGCTGCCAGGCCCTCGATCGGGGGGGCCCCGCCCGCGCCGCGGCCCCGTCGTAGATTTGGGGGGGAGGCGCCGGCGGCGGTGCCCAGTGGGGGCGGCAGCGAGGGATGGCCGATCTGCAGGGGCGCGGCTATGTGTGCCATGGCTCGGGCGTGGGCGCGATCAACTAACTCCCTGAACCAGGACTGCAGCTTCTTCCAGGAGGGCGAGGAGGGGCCGATCGACGTCCAGTGGGCCTCATTGGCTTTTGCGGAGGCCGGCTTGGGCGAGACCGACGACGCGGGCTGTGCGGAGAATGGGGGGTGCGAGAAGAAGGGCCGCGAGGGCGACGGGGCGCCGGCGCCCGGTGACCCCGCTCCGCGAGCGCAGGGGCCCAGCGGGAAAGGGCGAGGTCGAGCCCCGCGCGACCTCGCCTCGGGCAGGGGCGTCGCAGTCTGGGCGCGCCCAGCGTTCGCGCCCCCCTGCGCGCGAGGTCGCGGGCGGGCGGCCGGGCGCTCACGCCGCCGGGGCGCGGGGGGATGCGCGACGGCAAGGTTCGCGCGCGCGCGCCGCGGAGGCGAGAAGGCGCAGCGCGGCCGTGCCCAGCGGGCGCGCGAGAACGGCGCGGCGGCCGCGCAGGCAGCCGGCAGTGGCGAGGCCGGGGGCAAGCAGAGGTGTTGCCGCTGGGATGAGCCGCGCATAGGTCGTTAGCCAGCACGGCATCAGCTCGGCGTCGGTGACAAAGAGGCTCGAGGAAGGAAGCGGTATAGTCGGCGCCAAATCGAAAAGGCTTGCCGAAGTAGGGGTCAGCACTGGCCGCGGGGTTGGCTCCCACGGACCCGGGCTAGCGAGGCCTCGACAGTCGAAGAGGAACGGCGCGCGTGAGGCCTGGCCCTCGCGGGGTATCGCCCGGGCAGTGAAGTGAGACATGTTGGCCTCGACCCCTCGCTAGGGTGCAGTTTGGTTTTCTGTGGGCCAGCCGCGCGGCGGCTTCGCGTGTTTCGTAGGCTGGCGGCCGCTTGGCGACGCCCCCCCCCCCCCTCCGACCCCCGTTCCCGCCGGGCGCTGGGCGCCGCCCCGAGCCGAGTCAGGCCGGCGAGGGGTCGGCGAGCCCAGGGGGGGGTCTGTGCCATAGGCCGCGCTTCGCTTCGGCCTCTCCGCGCTGTGCGATGGGCCGCGCAGCTCCGCGCCAACCCCGCGGCGAAGGCCTGGCCCAGGGTCTCTGAGGTGCGGGGTCGGGCCCCCCCCCGCTGCCAGGTCTCTGCGGCTTCGCTCGCCCGCGTCTTCGCCTCGTGCGCGCTCGTGGCGTGTGCCGCCCTCGCTTCCCTTCTTGCCTGGCGGCGCCTGCCGCTGGGCGTGCGGTCCCAACCGCTGTGCAATCGGAAGCCTTAGTGTAGTAGTGTGGAGTTGAAGAGTTTTGTGGTGGTTGGCCAGGCGGCCGCAGACGTGCCTTAGCCGCGCCCTGGCGTCGCGCCAGGCGCAGTGACTTCGCGTGGGCCGTCAGTGCCCACGCGCTTGGGAGGCATGACTTTTCGCATGACCGCGTCGCCCAAAGCATCCATCCTTTACTTCTTTTCCCTGTGCCTCCCTCCTCTCCTTTCTTCTCTCTTCTACTGGAGGGTCTGCTTTCCTGTTTCCATTGGCGGTGCGCGCAAGGGGGCTGGCGCGAGGGGGTCGGCCTTTTAAAAGATTCGGGGGGCTGCTGAGAAGGCATCCAGATGCCAGGGGAGTGCTTTCAAAAAAACCTCATGCCTTCTGAGACCCCCCCGCCCTCTTGTAAGGCCGCTTTCCCCTCGCGCCACTCCCCTGCACGCGCCGCCCATTCTGGCCCACCCTGGGCCTCAGGGGGGGGGCGACCGACCACGGCACCGGAGCCCAGCGACAGCGGAGCTCTCGGCCCCCCAAATGGGGTCTGAGAAGATGAGGGTCGGAGGATCGCTCCGCATATTCGATGCATCGGCGATGTGGGTCGACGTGGGGCCCGTTTGGTTTTCTGTCGCCGTCGCCGTTGCATCGCCGACGCATCGCCGATGCTTCGCCGATGCGTCGCCGATGCATCGCCGATGCATCGTCGATGCGGCGCGATTCTCCGACCCCACCTGCTCGCACCCCATCTTTCACCACCCACCAAACCACCCCAACCCAACCCGAAGGCCTCAATTTGCCCTCCATTTCCAGTTGGGGGGGGGTCGGGGAACATCGAAAAACCACGTATGGAACCCATACCCCCCCCAACCCGAAATCCGGGTCTTCGGGTTGGGTTGGGGTGGTCTGGTAGGCAGTCAACCTTGGGAGGCCTCCAGGAGCAGATGGCCATCTTCGAGTCGTCGAAGCCCAAGCACGCGAGGACGGACCCGGGCCCCGTGCTGCGGCAGCCGGGCGGAGGTGCCGCCGAGGCGGCGGGCCCGGCGCCCGCCGGCCACTCCAGCGTCTGCGGACAGACGTGCGACGCCGCGCCGGCGCACGGGGTCGAAGACTTAAGTCGGTCCTGCGCCTCCGCAGGAGGAATATTCAAAAATAGTTTAAAAAATAGTCTGCGTTATTTGGGATTAATCTGACATGGTTTTGGACTATCTGAATTTTTCGTTCAAAATCCGCCTGCAGGGGGACACGGCCGACCTGATCGAAGATCCGGGCATCGCGGGAGAAAGCACGGCCTGAGCATCTTTTTCGGAGCTCAGCTCCCTGCGGATCGACTTCTCGGCTCTGCGCCGGACCCCCCTCCACCTGGCGGCGCTTCCGGCGCCGCACCAGGGAGGGGTGTGTGGCGCAGGTCCGAGAATCACCACCCACCAAACCACCCCAACCCAACCCGAAGGCCCGAATTTGCCCTCCATTTCCAGTTGGGGGGGGGGTCGGGGAACGTCGAGAAAACACGCATGAAGCCCGTACCCCCCCCAACCCGAAATTCGGGTCTTCGGGTTGGGTTGGGGTGGTTTGGTAGGTAGTCAGAGAAGTCCGGGCGGACCTCCGGGAGCTCGCGTGCTCCTGCCGCTCTCTGTTCCTCTGCGGACCCCGCGGGGCGCGGCCCGGGACGGACAGCTGCTCGTCTCCAGGAGGCTTCGCGCGAGGCGCGAAGCCGGCCACGCTTCGCGCAGCGTTGCTTCGCGAGGCTGGGTGGCCCTGGATGCTTTGGTCGGGCCAGATCTCCGCCTTTCTTTGAGTTGCAGCTCTTGGGGGGTCGAAGTCAGCATCGACCCTGGCGTTGTTCCAGGCTCCTTCGGCTCAACCTGTTGGAGCCTGGGGCTTGATCAGGCTGGCTCTGGCGCAGTACGCCCACCATCTGGCTTGATAGGCCTTCATGGCGCCCACGACGACCCCCCATGAGCTGCCTCCTGAATTTCTTGCTCCGGGCGTTGCCATCTCGCTCCTGACTTGAAATGTCGTGGGCGACGCGGCGATACCAGTGGCACCACTTGGTCACATCTGGCGACTAGTATTCCAGAATGGCGAAATATGGAGAATCAGATCGTGACCCCGGCCTTAGATTCTGCCCTCACCTTTCTTGGGGGCGGCTGTTCTTCTCGTCACGTCCAAGTGGGCGCGGCTCTGCCCGCAGCAGCGCCGGATAGACGCTCGCTCGCTTTCTCGCTGTGCTCCCCACTGCGCGGTCGCCCCTTCCGCTCCCCTTCCCCAGCATCGTCTAAACTATCCCAATCCTCACTTGGCCATGGTGTCTCAGCCCCACCAGCCCACCCCCCAGTGGGAGCGAGGCCCCGCGAAGCCCGACAGGAACAGCGTAGCTCCCCACCAACGGGCTCGTCGGCCAGTGGCGCCAAGACCATGCCCGTGGGGATGGGGATTTGCTCGACGATGCTCACTTCGTCTAGGATGTAACTCCTGGGAGGTCAAATTCTGAATCGGCGCTTGTATTTCACTTGTGGCAAACTAGCCAAATCTGGGTGAATTCCATAGACTCTGGCTCGATCCTTGGCGTAATCTGGCCTGATCTGGCCCAACCTGGCTCAATAGCCCTGAATCGTTTTGACGAAGGCCTCCCAGTTGTCCACAAACTTCCCGTCTGGCCTGGCCAGGGACCCCCTCTTGGCGAGGTGCCCGCCCCCGCGCTGGCATACAGCAGCGCGGTGCCCGTGCGCATCGGGGTCCTCACCTGCTCGGACCGCGCCGCTCGCGGGGAGTACGCGGACGAGTCCGGCCCCGCGATAGTGTCCCTGGTGAGCGCCTTCGGGGAGACCAGCGGCGCCCTGGCTCCGACCTTCGTGCACCAGCTGGTGGTGCCCGACGTGGAGGAGGAGATCCACGGCGCCCTCTCGGCGTGGAGCGCGGCTCGCGAGTGCGACCTCATCCTCACGACCGGGGGCACCGGCCTGGGCCCCCGCGACGTGACGCCGGAGGCCACTCGGCGCGTGGTCCGCCGGCCGGCCGACGGGATCGCGCGCGCGATGGCCTGGCAGACCTCGCTGGTGGAGCCGCACAGCGTGCTCTCGCGCGGCGTGTGCGGCGTGACGGACACGGAGGTCCTCGTCGTCAACCTCCCCGGGCACCCGTCGGCGGTGCGGCAGTGCCTCTCGGTGCTGCTGCCGGTGCTGCCCCGTGCGCTGGAGATGCTGGGCAGCCCAGGCGCCTCGTGAGCGAGGGCCTCGCGCGGGGAGGGCTGCCACGTGCGCCCGCGCGCCGAAGCCGAGGCCTCATCGGTCATCGTCGCCAGAACCGTCCCCGCTGGGATGCAGTGGAGGCCCCTGCCGAGAAACACCCTGCTTGCCTCCAGGGTGCCCTGGGTATCTTGGGTTTCGATGGTTTTGCAATGGAGGGCGTGACGTTCCCACGCCAAACATTCACGGACATCCTGGGGTCTTAGGGTTGGGTTTCTTGTGGAAGATTTCTTGTGGTCGGCCCCTACTGTACCGATCATCATCGCCAGAACCGTCCCCACTGGGATAGGTCAGCTCTCCCGGCGACGTGCCCCCCCCCCAGGATGGGGCTGTGCGCCGCGCAGCCCGAAGGATACATCACCCGTCCCCACAAGGGGGGGAGGTAGGTCTGCCAGCGGGGCCAAGGTGTTTATCGGCTAGAATCATAGTCGTTGTCGTTGCCGTCGCTGTTGTCCTCCAGCCCCTCCGAATCCCGCTGCCGCTCCCCCTTGCTTTCCGTCCTCTCCCCCCTCCTCTCTCCTCGCGCCAGCCGGTCGCGTCCGGGCGCGCCTGGGAGCGTGCACGACTGGGCGCTGCGTTCGCCTCCCTCCTGCTGGACCAGGCGTGGGCAGGTTTTGTTTGGTCTTTTGCGGAGAGACGGCAGAAGACCTCAGGGAGGAGGAGGAGGAGGTCACTGAATGGTCAATGTTTCCTCTGTCCTCCATGCCACATCGCCATCGTGCTTTCTGCGTCAGTCCCGCTGCATGTGCGCACGGATCGACACAGAACACACACACACACATACCGATATCCAGCTTACCGTCTTGGTGCATGTTGGTGCTGACCCGTATTCAAGAGGCTTACGCCCTTCCGCCGACTCCCAGACGAAGAAAGGCCTTGTCGGCGTCGCGAAGCTCCATCAGGTTTTCCTGGGCGCTTGCTGGCTGTTTCTTGGACGCCGCCGCGCGCATGGGCTGCCTTGAAGTGTCTGGGTGCGTCGGAGGAGTGGCCGCCGCGCAGTCGCTACGCCGGCCTTGTCCACGCCTGCTTTGCCAGCGCAAGCCAGGCCTCCACCGACCATCCACACTGGCGACATCACATGGAGAGGACAACCAGACACCACCGACATCCACACCTCCTTCGCCAACGCGAACCAATCGAGAGGACAACCCAGCGACATCACACGGACACAGACGGCCCAAGATGCCGAAACTTGGGCGGCGCGCGATCATCACTGCACTCAGGAGGGGAAAGAACACACAGACACAATTCATCGTCGATCCCCAGGAAAATATGGGAAAATATGGGAAGTGGGGGGGAAGACAAAAACCCAGAAAACGCAGGAAAATATGGGTCATCTGGTTATTTGTGTGTATTTATTCGTGTGTCCCGGTTCCCCTGCAGAGATACCGAAACTCGGGCGGCGCGCGAGCACCGCTACACCGAGCTCACACCAGCAGACACCCAGGATCGAGATCCACGCAGTGAACGCCCAGAGAAAGTCGAGACGACACGGCCGGCCCGCGCCGACACCGACACCAACGATTTCCTGCTCCTCCTCCTCATCCTCTACATCCTCCTCCCCCTCCTCCTTCCTCCTCCGCCTCACTTCTCAATCCTCCTCCTCCTCCTCCTCCTCCTCCTCCTCCTCCTCCTCCTCCTCTCCTCCTAATTTTGTATGTGTCTCGCGTGGCACGTATCCAGACACGCCAGATTCGCGAGGCCCCGGCCTCGCCCACCTGGCCCGAGCTGGGCCCAGGCGCTGTCCGCAGCGGTGGTCGCATCGCATCGCATCACATTGGGCTCACTTCTCCTGCGCCTCTCGGTAGGCAGCACTGAAATACGCATGTTGCGCGTCGCATATATATATATATATATATATTTATTGAGATGCTCCCAGAGTGACGTCGCAGATTGTCGTTATGACCTTCTGACGACGAGTAGGGGGAAGGAGGAGCACGACGAAACAGATGACGACGACGGCGAGAGGCAGGAGGAAGAGGACGAGGATACCGAGGCCAACGGGGCGGTTTCCGATGTTGGCTGGGCTCTGTTCGAGGCCCCCCTGGTGCAGTTGGGGGTGTCCGTGGAGACGAGCTTCTGGGGGCATCTTCGGGGCCCGCCGGCGGCCTCTGGGGGCGGCCTCTTGGAGCTTCGCCGAGGCTCCCGCTGCCCTTGCGGGCTGTCTGGGGCCTCGTGGAGCCTGTTGGGGGTTCGGGGTCTCTCTGGAGTCTCTGCCTGATCGCGTAGCGATATGAATAATCAGACTTCCGCCACCCCACCTGGGGTGTTGTGAGCTCTGGTGGCCTTCTCAGCTCGACTGAGGGCCTTCGGCCAGAGCCCCTTGGAAATACGCTTGAGGAATTCCTGCCCCGAGGGGGTGAGCCTACCGCAGGGTTCCCCGAGTTTCCCGAGAACCAACTGAGCAAAAGCTCCACTGGGGCTGGGCCCCCGGGGCCTCTGCCCGGTTCTCCCTCCTGGGCCTCTCTTGGGCCTCCCCTGGGGCCACGTGCACGCTTTTGTTTGCCGTGTTGGTGGCCTCTTGGGTCGTCTTGGGGCCCTCCTTGACCGTCTCCAGGCCGTTTTGAGTGTCTCTTGGGCTGGCTTGGGCGAGTCTAGGGGGCGTCTTGGCCCGTCTTGAGCGTGTAGACACCAGAAATCCGATAACGCGAAAATCATGCAACAACGCATGGGGAACCATTCTTTTTTGCCTCTCGAGGCCCTCTGAGGGGTCCTCTTAAGGCTTTCTTTCGGTGTGTTCGGCCGTCTTGAGACTATCTTGGGTGTTTCTGAGGCCGCTACGGCGTATTGGGGCTCTTCTGGGGCCATCTCAGAAAGCATCTTGGGATCTTTGCGGCAACGGAGGGTGGATTTGCAGTCCCGGAGACCCCCTTCAAACGCGATTTTGGAGCCTGGGGGACGGGGAAACGGGGAGGGGGACAGCCAGATGTCTCCACACGCCTTTTCACCCCCAGCAAGCGGGGATCGGCGGATCCTTTTACCTTTGTCCAGTCAGACAGGGGAAGGACCTATATTCGATTTGCTTTTGCTTATCCAGGTTAATAAGACTGAGTGTAGTCAGAAGGAAGGACACGAGAAGGCGGAGGAGGAGGAGGATGAGGAGGAAGAGGAGGTGGAGGAAGGAGGATGATATATGCTTATGATGATGATGAAGATTGATTGTTTCATGGATTGATATATTGATTGACTGGCGGATTGATTGATTGATTGTTTGGTGGATTGGTTGATGATGCTGATAGTGATAAGGATGCTGCTGCTGCTGACGATGACGATGATGGGTCGAACGCCTCGGGGCTCTGCGCGGTGGTCTCCTAGTGGTTGTGAGTCCTTTCCCCGAGGTCTTAGGTCACTCAGGCGTCGTGATACTTAGAAACAAGGCGTGGGCAGGGAGATCGCGGAGGTGATGTGCCATCCAGGCTGAAGATGTGGAAGTGCCTCGGAGGAAGTGTTGTCAAGACCTCCTCGGGTGGAATATCAGGGAGAGGGAATATCATACCCCCGTGCGCAAGGAAAACATCCCCCACGAGGAAGGAGGCATTATGATGGGTGCATGCTGCGTATAGAAGCATTGAGCGTTCGGGTAAAATGGTTGTTGTTGCAGCTGCTGCTGTTGATGCTCTTGTTGTTGTGAATGTTGTTAGGGTCGTTAATATTGTTGTTTTTGTTGTGGTTTTTGTATTGGTTGTTGTTATTGTTGTTGTTATTGTTGTTGTTGACCTCTCACTACTGAGTCATAAGTGATTGTTACCCTCCCCCTCCAGTAACATGTGTGTTTTTTCAATCGAAGTGCCCCGCTCGGGGGCCACACCTTGTTTTTTTGTATCAGGGAAAGTGTTCCTCCTCAAGCTGCGTCGTTGGCCCTCGGATTGAAACAACACCGGCTCCCGCCTGATACTGCTTCGCAATTTACTGAGACATCGCGCGCTCGCTAGGGATTTCGTTGCAACTTATCCAAGAATCGCACTCTCGCTCATGACTTCCTCGCAGTTCATTCAGGCGCCACGCCCTCGCCATTCAGGAATCGCGCTTTCGTCTGGGACTTCTTCATACTTCACTTAGGGATCGCGCTCTCGCCCGAGAGTTCCTGGCGAATTTTGCAGGCCTCGCGCGTTCACGTAACACATGTGTTTTTCAATTGAAGTACCCCTCCCGGGGCTCATTGTGTTTTTACGGGGGAAAATCTTCCTGCTCAAACTGTGCCCCTGGCCCCCGGTTTACAACAACAGCGGCTCTCGCTTGCTATTTCCCCACAAGTTGTTCCCAACTCGCGCTCTCGCGAAAGATTTCCTCATAATTGAATGCAGGAATCACGGTTTCGCGTGGGACATCCTTGCAATTTGTTCAGACGCCACGCCTTCGACAATCAGGAATCACGCTCTCGCTGTGGATTTCTTGAAGATTTATCGGGGACTCGCGCTATCGCTCGAGACGTACTCAAGAATCGTGCAGGACGCACGCTTGAGCAACCCGCCTCCTCGACCTGGCCGTCTAGGCCCGCCTTCCCGACCCGCCCGTTCGGGTCTACCCGCCCGATCTGCCCGTCTGCTCTTGCCACGTGTTTTCTGATGGTGCTATTGTCTCTGGTGCTCTCCCCCTTGTCCCTTCCTTCTATCCGTCCTCTCTTTCCCTGCCTTAGGGGCTGCACGAAATACACACTTTGCGGGTAAGAGCGAAACATCCCGAAGGGGGTACGATCGAAGACGAAGAGGGCGGGTATCGAGGTTTTGGGATATACGTGTTGTGGCACGCGATCAGGGATGAGCGAACAATCTTGCACCGACTATTATTGTTGATAATGATAATTGTGCTGTTTCTGTTGCTGTTGCTGCTGTTGTTGTTGCTGCTGCTGCTGCTGCTGCTGCTGTTGTTGTTGTTGTTGTTGTTGTTGTTGTTGTTGTTGTTGTTGTTGTTGTTGTTGTTGTTGTCGTTGTTGTTGTTGTTGTTGTTGTTTTTGTTGTTGTTATTCTTCTTGTTGTTGCTGTTGTTGTTGTTGTGGTTATGTTAGGTTTTTGTTGTTTTTGTTGTTTGTTGTTGTTGTTGTTTTTGTTGTTTTTGTTTTTTTTGTTGTTGACCCCCCGCTGCGCGGTAAACGATGCATTTTTCAATTGAAGTGTTCCTACCGGGGCTCGTGCCCTGTCATTTTTAAGGGGGAGCGTTTTTTTCACCAAACTGAATGGTTGCCCTCCGAGTTGATACAACAACGGCTCCCGTCTGATACTTCCTCACATTTTTTTTTCCAAGATCGCCCTCTTGCGCGGGACCTCCTCACAAGTTATGCAGGAAACGCGCTCTCGCGTGGGACTTTTCCTCGTAGTTTACTCAGACGCCGCGCCCTCGACGCTCAGGAATCACGCTGTCGCTTTTGCCTTTCTCGCGATTTACTTGGGAATCGCGCTATCGGTTGAGATTTCTTCGCGATTCATGTAGTTCCCGCGCTTCAGGAACGCGCCTGCTCGACCTGGCCGCTTGAGCCTTCCCGACCCGCCCGTTTTGGTCAAACCCGCCTAATGGGCCCGTCGGGTTCTGCCACGTGCTTTCTGCTCCTAGCCTCCCCTCCTGCTAATCCCGTGCTCCATCCTTTTCCTTCCCCTTTCCATCCGTCTTTCCTTCCCCTGTTTCAGTGGCTGCACCAGTTGCGCGCGGCATGTAAGGATATACCCCCAGGGGGGTACGATCGAAGA